CTCAACACAAAGGGAACAATTTGTTGGCCGCCATGTCCCAGGAAACCTGCATACCTTTGGATTTTCTAAAAAATATATACATGCTACGAATTTTTGCAATTGTTAGAAATAATAATGAAAATTAAAAAAATAATCGAAAAATTCAAAAATATATATAAATAAATTATTTTTAAGGGATAGTAGGTAATACTGATTATTGCGTACTGAAATAAGTGTTGGTTAATTATTTAAGATTACCATTAACTGTCGTGCATATTTGGTTTTGTCGGAAGTTTTAATATTCCTCATTTAATAAAAGTTGATTTAAAATTGAACGTATCTTTCACTACCCAAATACATAAGTTTACATAATATATAACACATACCTACTATGTATCTTCTTTGGTACAAGTCTATAATATTCCATTTCGGTTTGATATCAACCCTAGCGTTACCCGCTTCGACTCAAGGTCACCGGTGCTTAAGCTCTCACGTACAGGGAGTGTCACCGCTGTGCCTACGTACCGCCTTAAAAAGAAGATTTGTCTTGGGCGTTAAAATAAGCCGAAATAGCCGACTTTACTTCATCATCGTCACCAAACTTTTTCCCATGCAGTTTTTTCTTCATTTTTGGAAATAAATAATAGTCGCTTGGGGCCAGGTCTAGGCTGAAGGGTGGATGGCGCAGTTGTTCAAAACGGTACCGGTGAATGGCAGCTGTCACACATGGCTTGTGTGCACGGGCGCATTGTCGTGCTCGCCTTTTTTCTATAATAGCTTCTTTTAATTGATCTAGTAAAGAAGCGTTGCATTCTCCCGTTATCAAAACACCACGTTCCCTATAATCAATCAAAATAATACCTTCTGTATCCCAAAAGATCGTCACCATGATCTTTGCGACCGATTGAGACACCTTATACTTCTTAGAAGGAGGTGGGGTGGGCATTTTTCTGCCACTGCATCGACTCTTGTTTTGAATCAGGTTCATAATGGTGAACCCAAGTTTCATCGCCGGTTACAATTCGGGCCTTCCTCCCTTTGCTCTCCACAGCAGTCCAAAAACTCGCGAAAACTTTAGACGCGCTTGTGTTTTTGATGCGCAGAAAGCATTCTCGGAACCCATCCTGTACAGACTAGGTTCTGATACTTCAAATAATAATAAAATGTTTTATCTCACTAATACATTTTAACAAATAAATTTGGGAGTCCTGGACTCCTAATGTAGGTGAAACCTGTATCCCAGGAGCCAGTGCCTTCTCACAAAAATAAATGTACAGATTATATGATGATAAAAATAAAAAAATCTATTAATAAAATAAAAATAAAAATATTAATGTATAGAAATGTGGGTGTGTGCACGTGCGCTCTAGATCGTGAGTTCGTGCGAGCGCGTGTGCAAAAGTGATTCTGTTTCATGGTAACCAAAAGTGTAAAGCTACAATATTATTTTCTTTTATATATCATAGTTGTTATCGTTTTTTGCTTTATAAACGCTATTAAATTTATTTTATAAATATTATGTTGCTAAGTATTTGTAATTTTTCCCGCCATGCCGCGAAATTTTTGACCTCACAGTACAAGGGGTTTTGCATCGTGACCGATGTGAAAGGAATGTCGTTTTTATTGGTAAGGAGACATTTTGCATTATCTTATGATTGTCAACTACCGGAGACTTTATACGAGGGTGGATTGAAAAGTACTCGGCCTAACCAAGAAAATAAACACATACTAAATCAGTTTTATTTTTATTTTTCTACATAATCACCATCAAGTTCAATACACTTTTGCCACCTCCCCTTCCAAGCATTTAGACCGTTGAAAAAAAAATGATTCTTCCTTAGAGTCAAAATATGCGTCTACAGCTGCTTTGACCTCGTCGTTTGTCGAAAATCTTTGACCTCCCAAGTGCTTTTTTAGGTTAGGGAACAGAAAGAAGTCTGATGGTGCCAGATCAGGTGAATACGGCGGATGCGGTAACAGTTCAAAGCCACAGTTGTGAATTTCAGCCATTGACTGTACTGACGTGTGAACACAGGCGTTATCTTGATGAAACAGGACTTTTCTTCTGAGCATTCCTCGACGTTTTTCTTTTATTTCCTCTCGTAAACGACGTAGTAAGGTGCAGTAGTAATCAGAGTTTATAGTCTGACCCCTTTCAAGATAATCAATCATAATCACACCTTTCGAGTCCGAGAATACTGAAGCCATCACCTTATTTGCCGACAAAATCGACTTAGCCTTTTTAGGGGGTGGTGAACCAGGTCTTCTCCACTGTTTTGATTGTTGTTTTGTTTCCGGTGTACAGTAATGAACCCATGTTTCGTCCATAGTAACAAAACGATTCAAAAAATCATCTGTATCGGCTTCAAATAACTCCAAACAGTCGCGTGAAATAGTCAATCGCGTCCTTTTTTGTTCAACTGAAAGCAGTCGCGGAACCCACCTCGCAGACACCTTGTGGAAACCCAACTCGTTGACAATGATGTTTTGAGTTCGTTCATAAGATATGCCTATAATCTCGGCTATCTCTCTAATTTTTAATCTGCGGTCTCCCATTATTAAATCAAGTACTTTTTTTATATTTTCGTCAGTAGTTGACGTCGAAGGCCTTCCAGAGCGGGATTCATCTTTCACACTCTCTCTACCACGCTTAAATTCTGCTATCCATTTTTTGACGGATGAATATGACAGAGCACAATCGCCTAATGTACTGACCATGTCATCATGGGTGGCTTTTGATGATAGCCCCTTCTTATGGAGGTACTTAATGACGGCACGCTGCTCGATTTGCTCCATTCGCGGAAATTATGTCCGATTACTTTGTTAATAAATTTATAAAATCACAACTAATTATCGCACACGTTTCGAACTTCACACAATGAACTAGTCTGAACTGAACTAAATAATGTGGGTAGATTTGATTGTTAGAATTGAATGGATCTGTGTTAGGCCGAGTACTTTTCAATCCACCCTCGTACTGGTAATAAATCATTCCATTTAGTCCTCGCGGATTACAAGCATCTAATATTTGAGTAATCGAGTACAGATAAAGTTACCTATCTATCTTAATTACAACGTCAAAATATACTTAAAACTTATCACTTTAAATTTTTGATAAAATGCTTAATCATAAAACAAAAAGACATGTAAAACTTTTACCAGACAAATTTAAGATATCAAAAGCTTTTTTATTCTTCACTCCCGATAAGCTTTTAAGGATTTTACACAAATCTTTTTTCGCTGTCTGTACAAGCGAGAAGCGACTCCCGCATTTAAAATTATCCAAAGAAAAATAAAAGGCAATTTTTTTCTTTCTTTAAGAGGCAAAACAAATTGATGGGTTAGCAAGAACGATTATAAATTTAAAAAGTTTTGGATTAAAAAGTAGTTATTTTATTATGTTTTATTATTTGGCTACTATACTCGCATTGAATGTAATTACGCTGAAATTCCGTCACATCGAATACCTTATTAAGGCAGCAAAGAGCTGTCACATTTTACCGACCTAGACATAGTCATCTCAATTTGAGATTGGCTCATACTCGGTCATACATTAATGTGGAACATCATACATTATACAACAGAGTCATAAAAGTATGGAACAAAAATAACCTAAGTCCCTAAATTAAAAAAGAATAAAAAAAATTGACTTAAAAGCTTAAAACTTCGTCGATAAATATTGTAATTAACAATTATAAAAATCATAGAAAAATTTGGAGGGAATTTTAAGCATATTTTCATTGTTCGTTTTTTGATTGTGTGTGCCAAAGCATTTTCTTATTCCATTCGGGGAATCAACAAAAGGAAATCCAGTCAACAAAATATAAAATATGTGTATAATATGTGATGGACTTTGAAAACTTGTAATGTTGTAAATTCACAAAAAAGAAAATATAACTTTCAAAAAATATTCTTAACTACAATATCTCACGCAAACATAGTCCGAATCGAGCGCTCGGTTAAACGTAGTTACGAGTATTATTATTCTCTTTGCACTCGTTATGAAAGCACGTCAAGTGTCATTTAAAAATGATAAATAGTGTACCTATCATCATCATTGAGCCATATTATAACATGAATAAATAATAATATATCTCGACGACGGCAACGTATATATTATCTTTTTATAACATTGATATACCTAATTAGCTATAATAAATATGCATAGCTCGCACGCTGCAACTGTTTCAACATCCATTATGTTGCAAACGCGAGCGACCCAGTGCAGAGTGTCGCGATTAAATGCGCGAGTAGAGCAGTGTGTATACAGAACGGGCAACATCGCAGCAGCACGAGGAGCAGAGCGATGAGAAGCGCGAGGAGCATAGTGTGGCCGAGCTAATACATTTATTAAAGTCAACTTCATTTAATATTGGAGACTTAAGTCTGACTGCGAGCTTGGGCAGATATTGTTAGAAAGCGTAATTGTTTATTTCTGTTGTACATACTTATAAAATCACGCATCAGCTAAGCGTAGTATATGTAATAAAGGAAGTCTTATTTGGAGATCAAAAATAATTTTTAAATTAGATAATAAATTAAAAATGCACTAAGTATAAGTATCATCTTCCCACGCGTCGTCAAGTTGTGCAGACGCAGTTCATATCACTCTGCTTTTTAGAAGTGACACTGAGCCATTTTTAGAAGTGTAAAGTGAACTGAAAAGTGCATTATAAGTTATTATTATCAACTTTTCTTATCATTAATAACTAAAATACAGTGTGTGGAATTTGGAACTAGCTACTGTGTCATCAACTAATTTGCCTTTGACTTACCTACGTTGATATTATTTTTTACAACGCCTATAAAAATATAAAAGCAATTCGAAACGTAAATATCAAGCGCCTAGTTGCTTATTGTTGCAATAATACATTGCGACTTTTAGATATTTTATTTTGTAAGAATTGAAGTATCATCCTATTGTTTATCCAATAATGTCACTAAAAAGAACGCACCTAAAGACGCCTGTTTTTAATGTGAACACCTCTCAATCCTTTTGTCAATCAGTACCAAACATAAATATGACAGATAACACAGAAGTCGAAGTGAATTATGTTTCCCAGCGCAATAAAAGGAGAAGAGAGGAAGCAGATGAACATTCGGATATGTCTACTTTCATAAACGAAATACTGAGCATGTTTATGGATTTAAAAGTTACTATGAAGGAAATAAAAGAACAAAATATTAAACTACAAGAATTGGTGGACTTTACAACAAAGAAATATGATGAAATTATAGATAAGATGCAAAAGATAGAAGAAAACATAAAAGAAGATAAGAGTTATATTCGATTATTGGAAGCTAAAATAGATCAGCTAGAACGCCAAAACCGCAACAATAACCTGGAAATTCGAAATATACCCAAAAATAGTTTAGAAACCAAAAAATACGTGTGGCACTCGGTGACTGCCGCGGTAAAGCTATTGCATGGCATTTTTTATCAACTTATGCAATTATAATTATTTATTTATTTTATTTATGCAGTTAAGTCTTTGATATTAAATCAAGTTACACTTTTTGATCGTGGTGACCTATAAGAAAACAATTTTTTTTCTCTTATTGAATAAATGAGAAGTTAATATTGTTTAAAATATTTTTAATATCTTAAAATACATGTAGGTTATTCAGGAATTTTTATCATTGAGTTAGCAGCTATTGTACACGCATATGTCTAGTCGCACGCACCCAAACACCGTGCCGAACTCTGCCGAGTGCCGAAGTCTGCCGAACTGAAACGACGTTAGACGATGCACGGCTTTCAACGCCACACCTCCGTGCCCGTCGGAGTGGGAAGCGTGAGGTTTTTCCGTTACGGAATTTCTGGATTCGGACCCCGCGCTCAAGGCCGGCGATAGAAGCTATGCAATAGCTTAAAAGACTTGTTGAATCTCATTCTTAAAACAGGTACAGTTATTAAGACCCCAATTCAACCATCTGATATCAAAGACGTCTTTCGTACTAATTCTAAGACCACGAATAAGCCGATAATTGTTGAATTTACATCAATTCTAGTCAAAGAAAGCTTAGCTAAATCAGTTAAAACCGTCAATAAAGAAAATAAGCACAACAAGCTAAACACTGAACACCTGGAAATTGGGGGGCCCAAAACTCCAATTTATATTTTGGAAAATCTCAGCACAAACCAGAAGATTATTCTACTTGGCTAGAGAATTTGCTACTTAAGAAAAATTTAAATTCTGCTGGACAACATATGGAAGGGTATTTCTACGTAGAGAAGAGGGCTCGCCAACAATACGTGTAGAAACGGAATCAGATTTCCTAAAATTAAAAACGCAAAAATGACTAGATTTACACTATCGATGTAATAGCTTTCTATTTTATTACTCTTACCGAACTTACTTGTAGGCTTATTCTTATGATGTAATGTTTCTGTTAGCCATAAGTAACATATATAACACAATAAAAACATATACAGACACATAATTCATGCAATAACTTACACAAAAACCACAATCACAGATAATAACTTCCTTCCGAAAACCAACTCAAATACACGTTATTTTACTCACATATACACGTCTGTTAGAAAAATTATTACTTATTACAACGCAATCAAAATAATATGTCAATGTATGCCATATATGAAAGAATATTTCCAAACATCACTGAGAATAAGTCATAAAAAAATAAAAACTTTCAATCTTCCTAGTGACACTGTAATTGATGAGATTGACCAAGTAAACGAGGTAAGGTGTATAAGCTTGTCAAGTCATTCCCTATGTAAAGATGTAAAAAAACTATAATTAATAAAAACTTTTGTTTTGAGATCCTCGTGACAGCAAATTGAAAGAATTACTCGAATTTTAACATTGAACCACCTCACTCACTCCTTCAAGACCTTGCTTATGAGACTGACAAGTGAGTGAGCTAACGGCTCGATTAAAATAGTTCAAATATGTATTGAGATTATGTATTTTGCAGCAACATCTAAATGAGTGAAGTGTTGATATTGAGGAAAAAAGATTAACTATCGAAAATGATTATTTTTGAATAATGTTTCACATAACAACACATATTTGCGTGCGAAAATAAAATCACACGAATTTTTTTATTACCCAATTTTGCGTTAACTGTGCATAACTAGTGATCACAAATTTTACTTGCATTATAATAATATTATGAATATAATGACTATCGTAACAACATGTCCTGTTTTCAAAATCTTTCGGAAGGACGTCACTCGCCTTGTGACATGAATACGCCGATGAGTGATTCCTCACCTCAAATGAGGGTTACCACGTGAGGTCCTCGCGAGGTAAAATGAAGTACTCCCTCATCATCCAACAAAATAGATGAGTAACCCATAACTAGTACACGGACGGACTCTTACTCAAGAAAAGTAAGTAGTCCTATTAACGGCTATGCACTGATAGCTCCAAATTTTATCATCCTTTTTTAGTACCTTATAGAACATCAGCTACTAATAGGTATATTATTGTTTTCCATTCTATAATATGTAGATTCTATGCTTTCGTAAAATAAATTTAAAAAAAAAACTTGCTGATTTCCCTTCGCCGTTTCTTCTTGGGTCACAGGAACTTCATTTCGAAATTGTAGTAGTTGACGATACATATTTGTAAACGTAAAACGTCAAAACAGTAAATTCATATACATTTTATTTCATAACTCTGATGAAATTTTACGGAACACAGTTAAATCGAAGAGCGTACGCAAAATATTTTTGAATTAAATGTCTGATACAAATACTTTCTTATTTCACTTAAAGGTTATCGTGCACAGCGTCGCTATTGAATCAAGAGCTCCACTTTCAATAGCAAAAGGAGCAAAATGATAGTTTGATTTGAAAAGTGTAAATAGCGTTTTCCAAACGGACGCCGCCCGACACTACGCACTCAGTTGAGTGAATTCAAAAAAGCGATTTCAAAATTCTCCACTTCAGCAATCAAAAAGCGCTGTTTTTGTTGAATGTGCATGTTTGATATCACTTAAAGGCATGCAAGTGTTATATCAACGTCTATGTTCTTTTTTGTTTTGTTCACAATCATAGAAGTGCTTCTAGTACCATGTAAGTTACGGACATTATCATTGTTGTATAGCTATGAACGTTGTTTATTATAGAAGTATTTATACAAAATACTTAATTTCGTTTGTTCACTGCTGTGTGAATGAAATAACGTTGGTTAACAAAAGTGAAATTCATTCAACACTTTTCGTGAACAATTATAGTGCCCTTTTTGATAATACTAAAGTTACAACCATAACAATTTAAAAAAAAAAACATCAATATTTACTTAATACCTATTGTAGTTACCAGATAAAATATTCATTTTCTTTTGTTAGCAGAACAAGGCGCCCTAACAATTGTCCGCCGGTCGTCTAGCCGGAGCAAAGGTGAAAGCTGTTCCACGCCCACTGACGAACAGCTGGATCAGGTCGACCTGGACACAGAGCACTTGCCCGCCGTCGACACGCCCGATGCCTGCGATAAAGCCGCACTTAGGTAAGATTTTGACATAATTTAATATTCTTACGTATCATCTTAATACGTCTTATGCTCATCTATAGTTACAATTTACGAGAGTAGTCTTCGATCTGTCCACCGAAAAACAGTAAGTGGCAGAAATCTGCCCTAAGCGAAGAAGCTGCTTCCAGAGGGACTCTGCTCCTAATCTTCCGCTTTTATCCTCTCAAAAGAATTTTTTTTTAAATTTGCTGCTGAGTAAAAGAAAGAAATAGATGGCCCTAGTTAAAATAAGTTTGTTACAAAAAATTCGTGCCTAATTTTTAGACCTGTTTTAAAACTACAGTCTCAAAAGCAAATATTCAGACGTAATATTTTCATTAGATAGGTATAATCCATATTATCTTGTCGATTATTGGAAACCTGTCATTATTCTCCTTATTTAAGGCCCTTAGAGCGAGAGAAAGCCGAAAAAAATATCACATTAACTATTAATTTCATCCGTATGGAAAAATTATAGAATGACAGATGGGGAGTCGTGTTTTAGAAAAAAATCCCCAAAGAGTATTTTTGTCATAACTTCTCCAAAATTTCTCCAAAACGGCACAAGTTATTTAGGGTCTTAAAAAAATTAAAACAATTAATAGAGAGTTTTATTTTTATTCCGTGAAAATATTTTTCCCCAAAATTGAATATCCGCGGGAATGTGCCTACTCCGTTGCCCTGTAATCTATAATGGACGCCACACACGGTCAGTTCAACTGATTAAACTAAAACTGTTGAAATTTTTAAAATAGTGGATTTTTGATATATCGATCATCGTAAACATATTAATATCGTAGTTTTACATATAACTTTATTTATGGATATATCGAAAATCCGATATTTGAAAAAATTATCAACAGTTTTAGTTTGAAATGATCAATTGATCTGACCGTGTGTGTCCAACTTAACTCTATGCAGTCTCAGTTTGGTCAAGGTTATCATTTTTTCTAGTTAATTTCTAATCTGTCTTATATTACGGTTGTAGTAATTTGTTATAAAGCGTCCTGTTCCTGAATATAAAAAACTAACTGAATTGAACGAAACTTCCTAATTTGAACGAAGCTTTTATATGCAAAAAATACCTACTTTGAATTTTCGAGCTTTCAAAAAAATTTCTTTATTGTATTACTTTCCGAACGTTGGGTACTTATTAATAGGTTTATAGGTAAATAACGTTGAACCTACTTTATTGAAGCATGCTAATATTTGCATAAGAGAAGTATTAAAAGTGGAACAGTGGAACTCGGCTCAAACTAGATGTTTCTTAAAATAACGTCGTAAATGAATTTTCTTTTTCTTCTTTATTGTTCGCCCCTAAAAGTCTACTGCAAGAAATTGGTCGCTTCCGCTGTAAGAAGGTATTGTTTTGCCATAATTGGCCATAATGGCCATAATCACGCTTGACAGGCAGATTTTTTATTTATTAAGATTTTCGGCTTGGAATCTTGTTCTTTAAGCCATATCTTCATTTCATTCGTTATCTTTCGTTTTTAGAGTTCCGTACCCAAAGGATAACCAGCGGGACCTTATTACTAAGCCTCCGATGTCCGTCCGTCTGTCTGCCAACGGGTTGTATCTCATGATTCGTACTCGGAATAGGTAGACAACTGAAATTTTCACAGAATGTGTATTTCTGTTCCCGCTATAACTACATATAATAAAAATATATTAAAAATTTAAGGGAGCTACCCTACTAGAAACGGATTTTTTACGATGGTACAGAACCCTTCATATGCGAGCCTGACTGGCACTTGGCCAATTTTTATAGATTATTTGTTTAAAAAATTCTTCACTATTTGTTGATGCGTTACATTACGATGCATTCGGAAGATTTTGACAACAGCTTGAGCCAACAGGTGGTGGATGGCGACAGTATCTCAAGGTGCATAAGCAAACACCGTTATCTTGAGGTTCACATCACCATAGGAGCTCTTGTTTCATCGTACCCACTAATAGTTAACATGCGCCGACATTTAATACACAAAATCACATCACTTTTACCTATCAAAATCCAATTCAAACTATTATTTATACAATAAAACAAGAGCAGCAATCCCCGTGTGGCCCAATTCCTGCCAAAACTCTTTTGACAGACAGATTGACGATGGTAATATGAGATATTTCACACCTTTGACGTTGCTTGATCGATCGGAAGCCATTAGATTTTTTGGCGTTTTCCATAGTCGCCTCTAAAACACCCCCGGGATGTAACGGGATGATTGATTCCTTTATGCCGCCACTGCACCATACGAATTATCATTCCCTCCTTATCATTGAAGTTTGCAATGTAAAAAGCCCATGTTTTTATAAAATGGAGTAATTCTAACCTCTTTTGGTTTCTCTGTCATAATAGTTTTGTAATGCGTAACATTAGTTAGCTCAGGAGCTAAGCACTCGCTGTAAATTTCACAGTACGCGAGCAACCCGGGGTCGATCCCCGCCGGCACCAATTAAATTGTTAATTTCAATTTTAAGTACTGATTTACCACGTGCTCTTCGGGGAAGGCAAACATCGTGAGATAATATGCATGTCTGAGAAATAAAAAAAAATATTTCGAAGACATGTACCGTTCGCCAACACGCACTGGGGCAGCGCCGAACATTTCCTTGCCTTAAAACCCTCTCAGAAAAGAGGAGGCCTGTGCCCAGCAGTTGAACATATAGAGGCTGTTACTTTATTTATTTTTTAATGTTCTACGTTTCTAAGTTTTTCTAAATATAGAGGTGCAGTTAACAAAATAAGTTATTAGACATAATGCAATAGAACTGAACCAATCCAAGAAAAAGATTCTATGCGTATGAACTTGAGGGTCCGGCCGGTTAATTATAATTTAAATTTGGGAATTCAAGTCAAATGCAACATATCAAACTTCAAATTAAATTTCTTTGTAAAAAATCTTCAAACCAATATTAATAGTTCAAACCAATGCTAAAATAAATACATTATAGATATATTTCATAGGCAAAGGCAACGTGAGTGCGACGTATTTATTTTTAGCGTAAAAAGCTAGTAAAATATATTTCGATAATAAAGGAATAACACAACATTTGAGAACAATAACATCGCTAAAATTAGGAATAACAAAACTGAAAACGATAAAAATAAAAATATTTCTATTAAATATTCAAAGGAACACATTTATTATTTCGTTTCGTGGGTTCGATCATTCGGGTCTGAATAAACACGGATTTTCGATATTTGTTCTTTGATGACGGTAGTAAATTTTTACATTTTCCATATACAATACAATAAATCTATATATTTTGAGATAGTACATATTTCTGGTCCGTTCCTTAAATGTTGCGAAGTTTTTTTACCTTTATGGTTATTCAAGTCAGGTAGACTTGAATAACCATAAAGGTAAGGAAGATCTAGTACTTAGGAGGATTGTGAGATGTCACGTTCTTAAACCATTATTTCTTTCAACAATGGTGAAAAGCTCTACAAATGATAATACTGCTAAGACATACTGTATAGAAGAATTAAAGCCCCGACTTCAGGAGCTATTTATTATGTGAAAATTGTTCCATTGTCATTTGTCATTAGTTTTTGAAGTTGGTAAGGAAATAATGAATACTTTTTACTAAGGGCGTTATCACACTGGCGATTTGCAAGCGAGTTCAAAGCGAGGCGAGCGATGGGGCAGCGGGGTATGGCCACCCGACACACCCATAGAATTTACTAATTTAAGTCATAAATTGAGCAACACGCCTCTATTCAATTGAACACCTTCCTACATTATAAGTCCGACTAGGTAAGACTGAGAGGTCAATCGACGGATTCAACTCGCCCGTATTACATTTTTTTGCGGTATCAGACGTGCGGTTAAACGTGTGATCTGGTTCGTGTGAGACTATTTAATCGTCGTCTGAATCAACCACAACTGAAAGATCCATGGCGACATGGTGTGAATGCTTGTCTAAAGCGTTTGAATTCATATTTTGTCCAACGCATGCGACGTACTCCACCAGCGGCGGATGTCGCTTGCCGGGTCCTAGAGGACCCTGCCGACACTAAGCCAGGTGGGGATGATGTATTTGGGGGACTGCTAGGTGATCATGCAGCTCCTCGCGCTCGGCTGGCGGCCCGCATGCTGTCGCGGTACTTTGCGGTGCTAATTTAAAGAGGTTATGTGTGGTGTATTTGCATGACGTAAATTTCGTTGTTCTGAATGTTCCCATCGGCACAAATTTTCTAGAAATTCCTTGCCATAGTATTTTCGTACGAAGTTGTGCAATACACAGCACACTTTTACTATGTAATCGCATAGTACAAGTTTTGTATCTAACAGCTTGTGCAAAATTCGCCATTTATTTACCATAATGCCAAATGTACATTCAACTGTTCTTTTGGTATACGAAAGTCGGTAGTTATAAATCTTTTCTTTCATAGATAAGTTTCTGCTTAAGTATGGTCTCATGAAATGGAATGAAATAAAAGTGGAAAAGCTTCATCTCCAACAAATTAATACAAATGGCATTTCAGATCCTTCGTTATAATTTGGTATTATTGAGCATGCTGGTAAATCGAGTTGGTTTGTTAAAAGGCTTCTACCAAAACTTGAATTTTGGAATACACAACAATATTGGATCCGTATGCACCCACGTCAATAGCTACGAAGCTATAGTTAGCATCGGCAATCAGCAAAGTATTTAATAATAATAATAAAATGGCGTAGGGAATTGACGACCCCATCGCCCGCTGACGTAACAGTTAAGTGACAAAACTGCTACGTCAACGCAGTCAGTCAGCGCCTTGCGAAAGGTGTGAGCGTCGTGCCTCGGCAGAATTTAGGGTGCAAAGGCCCGTTTGTGCTTATGGCCGTACACGAACCGTACGGAAGAAACTGGATGTTTGGCGTATCGGGCTCGGATGCATCGCTTTTTTGCAGAACTGGAGCCATCTCTATCCGTCACTGAGCAAAATCTGGCAGACCGAGTTCGGTACATCCTGCGCTCCAACATATTTGGTGACGCCGAACTCGAACGACTACGACG